TACAAATACTTTGTTATTGTACTTAAGTAGAAATTTTGGTCATCTGTACTTTATTGAGTAATTATTTTTCAGCGTACGTTTTACTTTTACTCATTACATTTTACACAATTATCTGTACTTTCTACTCACTACATTTTTAAAAAAGGTAAGAAGTAGAAAGTCGTACTTTCCACTTCTATACTATCCTGATAAATTGTGTCTCCTGGATAGAGTGAATTTAGGTTGGATAAGAYGTATAAATATATAACATTCTGACATGCCATTAGCTTGTACACAACCCATCATCAAAAACAATTTTTTTTGAGAAGTCACCTCTCAATAAATTTCATTTTGGAAGATCTAACTGCTCACTTTTACTCAGTACTTTTACTTTTAATACTTAAGTAGAATTTCTGTCAGAAATTTACTTTTGATATTTAAGTACAAAAAATTCTGATACTCTAAGACTTTTACTCAGGTAATATTTTTAGAGAAGACTTTAACATTTACCAAAGTATTTTATGATAAGATACTTGTACTTTTACTCAAGTATCACTTTGAGGTACTTTATACAACACTGCTAAAACATGTTTTGTCTTTAAATTTTATCACCGCCACCAAAAGAGCCACCAAAAGTTGCTGTTTTTAATGTCTTTTACTAAAATATCTCTTTAAGAACTGGTCAGCTTCTAATGAACCTCAGAGGAAATAATAATTGGACAAACATCCATAATTTGGTTGACTTTTGGAGCCAAACCAATTCAAGATGGCCGCCACCGCCTGCAGATTTTAGAAAACACAAAACCTTTTACACAGATCAAGAATTAAACCCAAAACGCTCTCCAATCAATTCGTGATGTATTTCAAAACTGCTGGAGTCAGCAAAATATCCCATGACCCGCTTGATCTACAACATTCAGTTCAAGATGGCCGCCACATCTAATCAAATTTATCCAACACAGAAAATAAGTCTGTTTATTTGTGGGCGATTTCTTCACTTGTCAGGCCTTTAATTAATATGATTAATAAGGAATAAAAAAAACACTTTTAAAGTGACTGATGTTCAAAATAATAAAGCTTCATCCTGAAGTCAACACGTTGCTTTTTTACATGGAGTTTATTTGAGTGTCAGTGGCACCAGAACTAACATCCTGCAGCTTCTGTCGGCTCCCCCAGTCTCTCAGACTCCCTCCTGGTCCAGCAGAAGCCGCCCAGATCCCSGTCCAACACCAGGTCCTGGTCGTGCTTCAGCGGGGCTGCAGCCAGGAGGTCTCCGGGTTGAGTCTCTCCCCTTCGGCTTCTCCCTCCTGCTGCAGACATCTGAGACAAAATCCTCTGATCTCACATGATAAATAGATTTAATGAAGTATTTATTTACGTGATTTGTCACGATCACTTTAACTAAATTTGCTTTTTTATCCACCTGAGGCGTTTGTTTATTTCACCTGACCTGGGTTTAATTCATTATTATTTACAGTTTTTTATTCACGTCATTATTAATTGTCTCACTCTGGGTTTTTTTAATTAATAGGAGTATATTAATTAATCATCTCACTCCTACACACTCCATATTTTACTTTATTCATATTTAAGTTTTGTCATTTAATTCTTATCAGCTTATTTGTATTTTCAGCCTATTTGATATTCTGTCGTGTAAAATGTGAATGAAGTCTGATTTTAATGTTTATTTTTAAAATAATGGCAGCATGTTTCCTATACTGAAGTGTAAAGCGATTTTCAGAACAAAAGTCAATAATTAATAGAAAAAGCAACAAGTACGCCAAAAAACAAATGAGGGAATTTGTGAAACTTTTATCATTTTTTTAATTACCATAAATAACGTCTTAAGAACTCCTGTGASCCACACGAGCAGAACCTTCAGCTCCCCGTGAGACCCGGTGTGATCCTCCTGCAGAATCCGCACGAGGAAAATCGTGCTAATTTATTTATTTCTGCAGATTCTATAAAGCGCCAGGAAAACGGACCCAACGAGCCGCAGGGAGTCCTGATGGGAAGGACAGACAGACACTGGACAACCAAATACTCAGGAGCAGCTTTTTTGCGCTGCGTAAACTCACCCAGCGCTGCGCGTAAAGGACAGTTTTTTGTGCTGCGCGCGAGCTTGTACGGGCTGCAGTCCAAATGTATGCTTAGGGGAAAATATGCACTTTTTTCCCCCTTTTGGACAAAACATGTCGCGCGCTGTTTGATGAACCACGGAGGTGAGGTGGGTGTTGTTTCAAACATGGAGCCTCAGCAGAGGCTGCAGAGATGAGCATGCCCAGTCTTGAGTTTGACCTCCKCGCTGCTCAGGCAGGAAGGAAGGAGCCACAAGGGACTCGAGGGTTTTAACCAAAAGAAAGAAAGAAAAAAAAGAGAGAAAGACCTGAACCATCAATATTAAAAACTATTAACCAATCATATGTTGGCGTTAAGTCGAGAGCGCAGCGGGTGGTGCCTTCTGCTGCATTCCCTCTCCTTTTTTTGAGTTTTAAAGCTGTGTGCGCGCGAGGCTGAGATGGATGAGGTGTGCGCGTTTTAGGTTTCCACTTTGGCGCACGAGTTTCCCCGCAGAAAACTCGTGCGCAAAAAAAAAAACTGCGCAAAATGTTTGGTACGTTTTCCTCTAAGGTGTGTGTGTGTGTGTGTGTGTGTGTGTGTGTGTGTGTGTGTGTGTGTGTGTGTGTGTG